TGCAAACAAATGTGGCTATGTTTGGTTGTTTGTTTTTTCCTGAGGGCCAGAGGGAGCAGCCCCTGCACCACTGTCCTCCACACTCCTTATAAACCAAGGAGGGAGAACTGAGAGTTCTGGGTCTGCCTGGGCCATGCATTGAGTCCAAGGCTAGCCTAGGTTCCAAAGACCCTGTCTCAGAAAACAAAGGACAGGGGGCTGGGTGTGTAGCTCAGTGGGTAGAGTGTTTACATACCACATGGGAAATCCTGGGTTGGATCCCAGCACCAACACAAACCCGGGCATAGTGGCACAAACCCATGATCACAACACTTGGGAGGTGGGGGCAGGAGGATTAAAAGTTCAAGGGCATCCTCAGCTACATAGTGAGTTCATGACCAGCATGAGATGCACGAGACCCTGACCACAAACAAACAAACAAACAAACAAAAACCCGCCAACATTCATCATGGGTTTGAGTTTACATGTAGTAGTTTTTGGTTTTCGCTGCTGTGTGTTACTCTAGTGCAAGGATATGCCACCATTCTCCTGTGTGATGGACTCTGCAATTTCCAGTTCTATGCTATTATGAATAATATCTTATAGACATTCTAGCACATCTTTCTGGTTAAGACTTCTGCTTACTTAATGCTGAGGTGCTAGAATGTCAGGGCACCCTACTCCTTCCAGTTTTATGACTTTTACACAGGGAAACTGAGGCCCGAGTTTGCCTAGAGTTGGTGGCAAGGTGAGCCTAGCTTTCCTTGCATTGGGAAGCTTTCCACCCTCCCACACTGTCTCCACCATCAATGCTGAGCCTCAGGGGCTGGAATCTCCCCTTATGTCCCATCTCCTTGCAGATCCTGCATCCCCTCCTCTCGGCCCTTCACTTCAGCTATCACCGACCCCAGACACATCAGCCAGAGAGCCAGCCCACTCAGACCTCTCGGATGCCGCTGCTTCCTCTTCCTCTTCTTCCTCTTCCTGCCCACCCTGCTCCCCGGATCCCGGCAGAGAAGCACCAGGGCCTGAGCCAGCAGAAGTGGCTGTGGGAAGTGGAGTGCATGGGGAAGGCAGGCGTGAAAAAGGGTGCCTCTACTGCCCTACGTGTAAAGTGACAGCAAACTCAGCCTCTCAGCTTCAGGCTCACAACACAGGTCAGTGCTCCCCAGGCTCCAGGGCATCTATGGCTGGGTGACAGAGGAACCCTACCCGTGGTTACTAAGCAGGCATTACTGGGTTCTCCTCTTGATCCCAAGGGAGGGGGCATTGGGAAGAGAAGTCTGCAGCAACCAGAACTGAAGGTTGCTAAGGACAGGAGTACCCTCTTCCGTTCTTGGATCAAAAGGAAAGGGCTTTGGCCCAGGTGCCTATAAGACCTTCCTTGGGGATGTCCACAGGAAGCCACAGACAAGCCAGGCATGCTGGGAAGGGAAGCCCACATGGCTGGAGCGCTGTGTGTGTGCAGAGTAAAAGGTTTGCAAGGGGCGGCCCGCTAACTTCGTTTGGTGCCGTGGCCTGCCTTCTGTACCGACAGACTTCTTTCCTTCCAGGAGCTAAGCACCGATGGATGGTGGAAGGACATCAAGGGGCTCCCCGAAGGGGCCGGGGCCGTCCTGTGTCCCGGGGAGGGGCTGGACACAAGACAAAGAGAGTGATAGGAAACCGTGGGGGTCGGCAGGGACCTAGCCCTCCTTTCCACTGTGCCCTCTGTCAGCTCCAGGTCAATTCAGAGACCCAACTCAAGCAGGTAGGAGAAGGAAGACCGGGATTGGGTGGGCATCAGAGCAAGGGAGGAAGGGTTGATGCCCACTGATGGGTGGATGTGGCAGGGCAAGAAGGCTGCCTGGGGCTGCCCCATCGTGAGAACCCATCATGTGTGTGTTGAATGTGAGATCTGTGGGTTAGAGGAAGTCGAAGATAGTCTGGGCAACAGACTAACTTGGGGTTCTGTGGTCTTCCTCATGTCACTCCCACTCTGTCTGTTAGCATATGAGCAGCCGGAGGCACAAAGATCGCCTGGCTGGGAAGCCCCCGAAGCCCTCCAGCCAGCACATCAAATTGCAGAAACAGGCAGCATTGGCTGTGAGTGTCCTCAAGGTACCTGTCTCTAGGCAACGGTCTACGAGGGAGAGAGGAGAAGGGGCCAGCTGAAAGGCTTAGGGCGTGGCAGGAAGGTGCCAGCCCTGCAGCTGCCTGGGCAGGGACAGGGTTAGGGTTGGGGTTGGGCTATGCCCAGAGTAATTTCCGGTGGGTGGGGTGGGCTAAGGTCATAATATGGGGGCAAAAGCCAGGGGTGGGTGTGCTTATTCTAGGGACCATGTCTTCCTCCCCCTCCCAGTGTCCTGGCTCTGCCTGTCCTGAGGTCGTGCACCTGCTGGGCAGGAAGACAGGTGGCCCAGCAAGGCCTCTGGAATGGCTGTTTGGGGGTGGGAAGGAGGCGGCTAGACTCTAAAAGTCACGTCCCCGGGAGGGGGTGGGCTTCTCTGGTATCGGAGACCCTATTTCTCTCTTTCTGTTTTTTGTAGTCTAAATTGGCCTTGCAGAAGCAACTCACCAAGACACTGGCAGCCCGCTTCCTGCCCAGTCCGCTGCCCACCACAGCTGCTGCCATCTGTGCCCTGCCCGGGCCCCTGGCCCTCCGGCCTGCCGCAACAGCAGCTGCCACCCTCTTCCCAGCTCCTGTCCTGGGTCCAGCTCTGTTCCGTACTCCAGCAGGAGCCGTCCGCCCTGCTGCAGGACCCATCCTCTTTGCCCCCTATTAGCGGTCCCAGGATGGCCACATTCTCTCTCTTCCTGGCAAGCACTTGTCTCCACATCCCAGGGACTGCCTTGGCCATTTGTAGGTTCCCACCCAACCTGGGGGTAACTGCTCTTCACTGACTGGGATTTTTCCAGTCCCCTGGGTCTGAGGACTGTCCCTATTCTCTTTTCCTGGGCCAGTCCTGGGCTACCCTGCATCTATGGCTCCATGAATCCCAAAGATCTATGCAAAATCACAGTCCCAGCCACATGGTGCTCTCATATCCCCACCCCAACCAGACTCACAGTGCAGACTCCACATCTTAGCTCCCACAAGCCAGCCTCTCTTGCCATGTTCTAGGGCCCTCTGAACAACCACTGGAAAAAGGGAGTTCACACTGACTGGGTTGGAACTTATTAGCCTTGTTTATCATGTGGTAGCCAGGTGTGGTGGTGCATGCCTACAATCCTGGTATCTGGACCATGAGTTCAGTCAGTTTGGGCCATATAGCTAGATACTGTTTCGAAACGAACACAAAAGTTGACCATGGAGTATGGCACAGGACCATGGAGATAAGAGGCCCCCAAAGTCCTTCAAAGTACTGTAAAAGTGAGGCAGAGTTGAGGGAAGCTCCACCTTCTCTGTAGGGGTGAGGCTAGGTGAGAATGGTGTTCAGGCTGGACCTGACTGTGTAGCCCTGGCTGGTCTGGAACTCAGTAGACCAGGTTGGCAAACTCAAGAGATCCACTTGCCTCTGCCTCTTGAGTGATGAGATTAAAGGCGTGCGCCACCCTGCCTGGCCCTGGCTTTAACAGAAGTGACCCGTCTTACCACAGCTGTCCTTCTTAACCTTTCAGTGGTTTCCCTTGAACCCCACCTCTAAGGGAGGGCTCTCCACTCCAGACTGGGGTCCAGTCTCTCCAACTGTGGAGCTCAAGGCTGGTACACAGTCCTACATGCCCTCAAGATCCACTTTCATGTTGCCAAAGCCAGTCCCACCCCCACTCAATATGGGACTTCGCCAGTGTCGCTACTTGTATCTTTTTTTTTTTCCTGGAAAGCTATTTCCAATGGGACAAGAAAGGGTTCAGGGGAGGGAAACTTTTTGATAACAGCAGTTGTGGTTTTATTGTGTCCAACAATTAATTAATGAACTTAATATTAATAAATGAACTTCAAGCCTGAGCCTGTGGATGCCCTGACTCTCCTTGCACAGCCCTGGCACCAGCCCTTCTCAGCTGCTCTGGAGAGGAGGGCTGGTACTGGAGGTGGCCTGGCTGTAGGTCTAACTCACGTGAGGTGTGCACATCAGAAGCTCAAGGTGGGCACCAGAAGTTGTGGGTTATGGGCTCACTTGAGAGCACAACCCCGATGCAAGGCCTGTCAGCTCCTAGGAAGCTGCTACTGGTTTGCCTGGTTCTGTTCAGGCATCTGAGGTAAGAAGGAAGGGCTGGAGGAGCGGCTTATCCCACCTTCACCAGGGTAGCAGGCAGATAAATACAGAGAATATAAATATAAATCCAGCTACTAGCCGAAAACCAAGAGGGATGGGCACCAGCCCTAAGGGCAGGTCCAGACGGTGCTCCTCGGCGCCCAGAGTGCACTCCTGCCCCCTGGTGGTTAGCAGAGGCTGGTCCAGCCTCCAGGGCTGGTAGGTATAGCACCTTGAAGAGGGTGAAGCAGGGGCAGAGAGAGACACAGGAGGCCCAAGCCACCTGGTTTAGAAAATCACCGGGCTGCCAAGGCTCCAAGTGATCACCCAAGCTCCTGTCAACTCACAGATGAGAAAACTGACGCCCAGAGAAGAATGGCCTTGGTAGGTCACAGGGTGACTGACACCCCAGTCATCATTCCACTCCACCGCAACCAATGAGGCCTCTGCTCCCAGAGCAGGAGGAGGAAGTGAAACAGCTGAGAGATGGGTGGAGGTCAAACAGAACACGCCACTCCCGGGAGCCTGGCTTTCCCCAGCCTTGGACAGGCCAGGGGAAAGGTCAGGGTGAGGGACGAGGAGCCAAACCTAAGGCCAGCACATATAACCGTGAGCTCACAATACCAGGCTGGTGCTGGGTTACTGGCAGGAAATTTAGAGAGCTGGAATCCCTGATAGGAGCTAGACCCTGGACTGGGCACTTTGGCGTGACAGCCCTGCTTCCTGCCCAGGCAGATGGAAGAGACACTATGTACCATAAGTGTCCAGATGACAGTGGAGAAAATGTGATGTGAGCTGGGGGTGGGGTGGGGACTATCATGGAAGGGTCACGGGGAAGGCCAGCAATCAAGTTCACTTGCACTTCTTGGAGTTAAGAGGGGACAAAAGTGGCATTGGCCTGGGCCAGCCCAGCTTCCTGGCCTAGAGGGTCGTTCCCTTACTGATTGGAAGAACAGCTTGCTTCTGAACCCCTGTGCCCTCAACCCATCCTGGAATGGGGTTGGAATGGTGAAGACAGAAGGGAAGCTCTTCAGCCATCCAGGGAACCACTGCCCTTGTTCTTGCGGCTCAGAGGGAAGGCAGACTTGCTCTGGGGCTGGGTCATCTTGCTGGCCAGGTAGATGAAAGGCTCCAGGAGGGAACGGCGGTCGGCCACTGACACCTCCCACAGTTTCACCTTCTCTGACTTGGCCCAATGCTGTGCCACATCTGGGTCTACACGACGCTGCTCCTGCAGGTCACACTTGTTGCCAAGGACCACGATGGTAACCTGGAGAAGGGAGACAAGAGTAGAGGCTGGCTGGGTGGTGGTAGCATACATCTTTAATCTCAGCACTTGGGAGGCAGAGGCAGGAGGGTCTCTGTGAGTTCGAGGCCAGCCTGGTCTACAGAGTGAGTTCTAGGACAGGCAGAGGTGTTACAGAGAGACTCTGTTTTGGAAGAAAAAAAAAAGGGGGGGGTAGAGGCTGTATCTGTGCAGTGGCTCAGGATCAGGAGTAGCTGGCAGCTGCAGTCCCCAGAGGTCAGCAGCTTACGGAATTTTGGAGGACTGCCAAGAGCATGGAATCACAGGGAAGAAAGATCATGGGGAGCTTCGTGTATTAGAGGGGACCCTACTAAACCAAAGAAAAGTCTCTTTCAACTGTTCTTTCACAAGGCCACCTCTTATATGGAGATGGTTGAAGACCCTCTCCAATGACCTTCACAGTCTTCTAGCTCCTAAACTACCCCTTGGCAAATGATCACAATTGGAATCATGCCAGCACCCCAAAGCCGGCCAAGGCCCTGTGCTCTCCTAACACTGGGCTCCCAGCAGGAGTCCGGGACATGTACCTCCTTCTTGTCCTTGGACTTGTCGATTTCCTTCTTGAGCAGCTCAACGCGCTGAAACGATTCTCGGCTGTCTGTGCTGTAGACCAGGACGTAGCCATCGGTGCAGGAGAAGCAGTGCCTGGGCAGCTCGGCCCCATCTCGGAGACCCCGAGTATCATAGAAACGCACTTGCTCCCGCACTCCTCGGTCTGTCTCAATGGAGCCTACATAGATGTCTTCTTGGGTCTCAATCATCTCAGAACCTGGGTTAAAATGAGACTTGATTAAGAGTCAAGGGAGATGGGAAATGTGAGAGAGGTAGACGTCCTAATGAGCTGACTAGCCATGGAGCATAAGGACGAAGGGGGCTCAGGAGAGGCCAGACTTGAGAGAGTTGGACAGAAATGACCTGGGGAATGAAGGTCATGTCATTATCACACTAAACAAAAGTGCAACACAAAACTGGGTATGGTGCCACACACCTTGAATCAAAGCTCTTGGAGGGGCAAGGGCAGGGGCAGGTTGATCTCTGTGAGTTCCAGGCTAGCCTGGTCTATATGGTGAGGCCATCTCAAAGATGATAATAATAACAACAAAGTAGAGAGTTGTAGAAGCAGACACCATACATCTACCTCTGACCTCTGCACAATATGCACACACATGGGCATGCATGCACAGAAATGCACATTCACAGAAGCGCCATGTGGGTTTTTTTCCTATCGTGGCTTTGGGTGTCTTCCTTCTAGATTTGTTCGATGTTGTAGAACTGGGAGTACAATGTTTTACTTTTTTTCTCCACTGCTGGGGTTCAAACCCAAGGCCTACTCCACGTTAGACCAGGACTCTAGCAGTCAGTCACGCCCCTAGCCCCAATTTTGAGGATGTAAAAGGAGCTGGTGCCCTTTTTTTAGCCCTTTGTGTTCCTATGGTGATCAAATCCATTGCATTATCCAACATCGTCCAATAGTCCAACAGCCCCGGCAACACTCACCCACAACATGGTTCCCGTACAGGAGCTGCTCAAGAATGGAAGTTTTGCCCACAGAGGCCTGGCCGCACACGACCACCTTGCAGCTCTTCCCCATGTTTAGGTTTCAACCTTGAAGAACAGAGGTAGTGTGGTAAGGGAAGACAAAATTCAGAGAGACAACAGAATGGGGAAGCTTCAGGGTTTCAGCTGCACCTTGGTGTGTTTACATGCACTACTGAGCAGTGAACTGTACTGTAATTAACCTACTTGTCCCAGGAGTGGCCCAGGATTTGGCACACCACCATAAAGGGAGAGGCCCAGAGTGTGGTTTAAGAAAAGAGCTGGCCAGGTTCTACCCGGTGCACAGGAGGTCCAGGACACCAATTACTGAAGGAAGTTCCACAAGTACTCTTGCTCTTTCTGTCTGTTTGTGTTCTGTATTTTGGAGACAGGACCTCATATAGCTCAAGCCAGCTTCCAGAGGATGAACAGTTGAGGCTGGCTTTGAGCTGATCCTCTTGCCTCTACCTCTCAAGTGCTGGGATTACAGGCATGTGCACACCAGGCTGTTTTCTCGCTTTAACTAGGACCCCCACGAAGAAAGAAGCACAACTTAAGATTCTGAAGTCATCTTCTCGGGGAGAGTGTACAAATACAGAGAATAGCTTGCTCCTGAATGACTAATTGGGTGAGAATAAACTAACCATTCCGAGTCAAATCCACGGGTTAAAAAAAAAAAAAAAAAGAACATCAGATAAGAAGTGAGTGGTAGAATCATAGGAAAGGAGCTTCGGAAAGGGATTTTACGGCCCTTGGACTGACAGGCACGGAGAGAAAGCTCATACTCTGAAGAGACTCCGGAGAGAGGTCTCCTAAAGGGAAACTTCCAAACACAGGCTCCTGGGGAGCTCCAGTGATCTCCCCTCCCTGTCCCGCAGAAAGCAGAGATCCAGCCCCCAAGGGGTGCCAAGCAAAAACCTCTCCAGGAGCGTCTCCTGAAACCATCTCCACCCATGGTCTGAGCGTTTTAGTAAGCCAGACTCGAGAGGCTGCCAGAGGCCGCCGCCACAGACTTCCCCTGAAGGGCACCCCTCAGAAACTATCAGAGGCAGAGACAGGACAAGCGAAGTGAACCAGGGTCAGGGGCCGATCTGAGCCCCGCCTCCCAGCTCCATACCTCCGGGGTCCCCGCAGCACTCCCGCTGAGGTGCCCCCCGGAGTGGGCCGGACCATGGGAGGAGCTGTTCGACTGTAAGGACGCCCCTCTTCCTCTGGGTGGAAGTACTTGCCCTGGAGGCCCGCCCCCCCGCAACGTCCGGCCTTCAAGACAACTTCCGGCGGCGCAAAGCGAGCACTGATTGCACAGCGCCCCCAGAGGTCGGCGGGGGAATGACGGCCAGAACTTGTGGTTGTGTATGGATACCAAGCTGATGCTTCCGGGCTCTGATACCGAAATGTTCTCTCTCTAAAGAACAATAATTCTTCGTTAATCCTATCATCTATTAGACAAGTTTTTTTTCTTTTATTGGCAGTGCTATGAATGGAACCCAGGATCTTTCATATATGAGGAAAGTGCTCTTTGAACCTGGAATTTTTTTTTTTTGAAACAAGGTTTCTCTAGTCCTGGCTGCCTTAGAACTCACGCTATGGACGAGGCTGGCCTTGAACTCACAGAGAGCCTTTCTGCCTCTGCCTCTCAATTGCTGAGACTAAGGGTGTGTGCCACCACACCTGCCTAAACCTGGCATTTTTTGAACCTAGAATGGGTCTCACATTTGTATCCCAGCACTTGGAGGATGAAGTGGGATGATTTTGAGTTCAAAGACAACATAGTCTACACAGAGACCCTGTTTCAAAAAACAAAACAAAAGCCCTACTTTTTCTTGTCTCTGCCTGTAGCTCGAATTCTAATTGGCCTTAATAACAAAAACTCGGAGTCAGATATTGGGGTAAATGCTGAAAGATCAGAGAAGTACAGGAGCAGCCACTAGATAGACTTCTTACCTCTACCGAATCCTCAGACCGAAGGGGGCTGAGATCATGTTTCCTCCCACCTTATATTATGGTCGACACCTCCCTAGTGCTGGGATTAAAGGTGTGAGCTTCCCATGTGCTGGGATCAAAGGTATGATCCTCCCTAGTGCTGGAATTAAAGGTGTGAGCCTCCATTGCCTGGCTCTGTTTCTCCTTTAGACTGGATCAATCTCATGTAGCCCAGGGTAGCCTTGAACTCCTGATCTTCCTGCTCACTCCTCCCAAGTGCTGGGATTAAAGGTGTGAGCCACCACTGCCTGGCCTCTATGGCAAACTAGTGGCTAGCTCTGCACTCCAGGCAAGCTTTACTTGTTAGAGCACAAACAAAATATCACATGTGCCTTGTGTAGGGTCATATGCAAAAGAAGTTAGATAGAGTGATTGCCCAGAAGTTCACTGTCTAGAAGAGTTAAACATCTAAACCAAAAATTACCACACACTATGATGAATGCGGTTACTGAGGTGGGATGCTATGGGCCCAGCAGAGGGGCATTTAACTTGGGGGCAAGACACCAAAGGAGGAGGAGGACATGCCTATGTTCAGGTTTGAAGGACTGAGGAGGACAAAAATGTCTAAAGCAGAGGAAATACGGCAAGAACCATGACATTTCTGGAGCCACAAATCCCTGGGAGTTCAATATTGACTACAGGGAGTAGCCAATTAACAGAGATGTGTGGTAAGTCAGAGACCAAATTCACAGTAATAGAAAGCCATTGGTAGATTTATACCAGGGCAATGACAAGATCCATCCACTTTTGCAAGAAAGGTCATTCTTTTAGAAGAACCGAGGCTTGACTGAGATGAGACTGAGAGACAGTTAAGAGACTAGTGTAGTCTCTAAGCTTATTTGTCTGTTTGTTTGTTTGTTTGTTTGAGACAGGGTTTCTCCGGTGTAGCTTTGGTGCCTGTCTTGGATCTCCCTCTGTAGACCAGGCTGGCCTCGAACTCACAGAGATCCGCCTGCCTCTGCCTCCCGAGTGCTGGGATCAAAGGCGTGCACCGCCACTGCCCAGCTATTTATTTGCCTTTAATGGCAAGATTCTGGGATGAAAAAGAGACTTATGAATGTGTGGCCAGTGAATCAAGAAGTGTTGACGACAGATTGAAACTCAGGAACAACACCGAGAACTGCATGATTTGCCCCATGTTTCATGTGGCAGCCAACTTGTGTGGAGGCAGGAGGATCAGAAGTTCAAGGTTACATAGAAAGTTTGAGGAAAGACTGAGTTACATGAAACTTTGTCTCAAAACAAACTAACAAATAGGTTAAGCTTTGGGGATTTTTGAAACACCTAAGAGATGATAGGTAACTGGTGATGGAAGTGTAGAAGTCGGAAAAAGACTAGGAGGGGGCTGAAGAGAAAGGTTTGGTGGCGAAGAGCACTAGCTGCTCTTCTAGAGGACACTGTTCTCAGCACCGTGTTGGACTGTTCACAACTACCTGTTAACTCCGGCTCCAGGGAATCTGAAACCCTCTTCTGGCCTCTGTAGACATCTGCACACATGTGGCGTGCACTCACAAAGACATATGCACATACACATAATTTTTTAAATGTCTAGGCAACAGGAAGAATTGATAGTTGGGATGAAATTAAAGCTGGGTGGTGGTGGCGCACGCCTTTAATCCCAGCACCCGGGAGGCAGAGGCAGGTGGATCTCTGTGAGTTTGAGTCCAGCTTGGTCTACAGTGAGAGATACAGGACAGGCACCAAAACTACACGAAGAATCTCTGTCTCGAAACACGCTCCCCCCCCCCAAAAAAAAGAGCTGTAAGAGTAGATGAGTTAGGGTCAGCTAAAACGACAGAAAGTTGGGAGAAAGTAAAAAACAGATTGGTCCACGAATTAGACTGTATACTGTGAGGTGAGCCACAGGCAGGCAGGGCAGGTGGTGAGGTTTTTGCCATCCCACCCCCAACCAACAGTGCGGGTAGAGGCTGAATGGCCTCTCTCGGTCCACTGAACCATAGGTCTCTCTCATTTTCTCTCTAGTGGCCCCCGTGGTTCCAGTTCCCGCAGTAAAGATAAGGACCTACAAAGTAGATTAGGGGCCTTCACACAGTTTTCCTTAAGGGAAGGGGCATAGACACTGTTAAAATTCCACTGTCTTCTTATTTTTGTTCCCTTTGGCTTTGAATTACAACCTCGAAGTCCTCTCCTCCACACCTTTAACCTCAGAGGGCCCCAACTGAACTCAACTCCACAAATACTGACGGGTGTTGTAGTGGGTACTACAAAATGATTAAGCTGTCTTCCCAATCCAGACCGCGTTTGGCCAGACAAGCGTGCTGGGTAGAGTTTATGAGAGGTAGGAGGACACGGGACACTAAGGAAAAGGGACCTCACCCCATGAGCTGCCTTATAAATCCGGGGCAGGGGCTGGGGCGCCATGTCATCCTCTCTAGACTTAATGCTGAGATGGCACTCCCAAGCGGCTGACATGAAAGCGGTCTCATAAAAGGGTTCGCGTCATTAGGGGTGATGAACCAGATGGACCTTGGAGATCCGTGGAGGATGAAAGGCGCAGGGTGAAGACGCCCTGCGTTCCCCCTCGCTTGGCTGGGCAGGGCTTCCCGTCACCGATGAAAGCTGGGGGACTGGGCTCAAAGTAGCTCTTCATGCCTTTCCGGGGAGGAGGCTGTGGACACACTCCGAGGTCGGGAAGGTAGTCGCAGACAACAGCTTTCTTTCCTCAAGTCTTGGATGACCTGTCTCCACCCACCCGGGACTCCCAAGCTTCGCAGGAGACGCTCTAGGATTGCGAGTTGTTATGGCAACCAGGCTGTCGGGATACTGAGGCAAGCCGAGGCCTAGAGAGGCAACATCCTTCGGTACCCTCCTCCTATCCGCGGGTAAAGTGGCGCCCCCTACGCACAGGAGCCGTCCCTGGGCCCCCGCCCCCGGGCGGAGACCACCGTGGACCTCCAGGGATGGGAGGCCGCTCTGGCCCCAAGCGGAGCCTCTCGTTGGTAGACGGGCTCGAGGTAGTCCCTCTGGGCGCGGCGCCGCTGAGCGGCTCGATGCTCCGACCGGAAGTGCTCTTCACCGCCTGCCTCCCACCCGGCTCTCTGGTCCCGGCGGTAAGATGGCGGCTACCGCGGAGTGCGATGTGGTAATGGCGGGGACCGAGCCTGAACTGCTGGAGGACGAAGAAGCAAAGAGGTAACCGGGTGGTAGGCTCATGGAGGAGGCAAGCTTGGAGTTCGTGGCTCGGGGAAGGTCGACTCGGCAGCGAGGCAGCCCCTTAAATGTAGAGACTTTGCAGACAGCCCTCCCCCCCGCCCCCAGTCTGAGCTGGAGTCGACATAGACCCTCTGAAGGGGGGTTCTTGGGGGGTCCGTTTTCCCCTTCTGCTTCCGCCTCGGGGGGAGCCGAGGCATGGCCTAGTTCTGCAGCCGAGAGGAAGGTCGTCCTCATTGTAGAGGCCGGGGTGGAATCTCAGAGGTCGGCTGCAGGGTGGGGGAGGCGTCGCGGCGTCGATGACGACTTCCTTAACACAGCCCCAACCTCCGCCTGCTCTGGTTAACTTGTGTGCATTGTTATCTGGCCTCACTGTGTGTCTCCAAAGCCCTCGTTCGCCTCTTCACCTCCTGTCCCTCAGTGATTACACTCGATGGTCATTAGTATGGGTCCGAGGAGACTGTATACCTCCAGTTATTGACCTGGTCGCTCCCCCACCCCCAACGATTACTGTAGAAATTAAAAATGGATAGACAGAAGGACGAAGGAGGAACTCGTCTCTTACTGTGCTGCTCAGACGCTTCTTCACCCTTCCTCCCAGGACCATTATTAAGCTCAAGGAGGACAGCTGTTTAGATGCAGTTGGCACCGCTGGGCAGCTGCAGTAGCGCGCGATTGCCAGTCTGGACTAGCCTAGGGAGCTGCTGAGTGCGTGGTTTTCGAGAACGCTCCGTGAATTCTGGCACCAGCTAAGGACAGGTTTTTGAAGTGGGTTGGAACACAGATGGGAGCAGGCATACTTGTGCTGATACCAGAGGTGAACCGGTTTCTTTATCAGTTGCACATTAATTTCATCCTTTTGTTCAGGGTGGAGGTCAGTGCCCTCAGTCTTCTAACCATGGGCTTCATATGTTCATACTAAGCCTGTGGGGTACGTTTCCGGTCGGAATAATTTGAGATGATGAGAGAATTAAATCAGGAGATCTACAAACCAGGATACTGAGGTTTTTACTGTCCAAGTTAGAAATACAAGAGGGTACTTGGGGAGCTACAATGAATATCGTAGTTACCAAGTGTGTGGGTAGTTCCTTGGA